GGGATTACAGGGTAGAACACTGAACAGGTATGTATGCTCTTCTGCTTTTACTTGTCAGAACATCTCTGGCTCTAATGGGGCTAGTTTACAAAAATGGCTTGGCCAGGTTCAGTTTTCTACAGTAGTCAGTTCCTTGCAGGATCAGGCTGATTCAGAATTGTGAAAATACCTGTGATGTGGATTTCACATACCCCATTTGGACATTTCTATCCCTCGTTTCTGTTTATTCTGTCTTTTGGATGCTTTTGTCTTGCATTTGCATGTGTGAATCGCACAGTTTTGTTCAGCGAAGCTCCCATCCCGCAGATCCTCTCCAAATCATAACTCAGATTGTTCATATGAGAATTGCTTTTTAAGGCAGAACAAATCAGTGCTTCTCTTGGGAAGGAAACCAAATGAGCTTTTCTTAGGTTGGCAATTCAGTCCAATTATTTCACTGATCTTTGTTCATTTAATTCATTTGAAGTGGAACAATCAGAAGAAACAGGTCAGAGCTACAATGCAAACAGGAAATTACGATTTCTCAATCTGAGGAAAATGAGATTTTAGAACACATTCCTTTATTTTTTATTTATTTATGAAGCCTTATTCTTTTGTCATGCATCCTAGTAGTGCTTTATTGCAGAGCACAGCAGTCTTGGGAGAACTATTAGAATAACGTCAGTGCCCCTCACAACAGAACTGTAGCTAAAGCCACAGGTACTGTAAATAAGCTCAACTCTATTGATTGCCTGGGACCAGTTTAGAGTAGCTAAAAAATTGCAGTTCACAGGAGGGAAAGGATGAGGTTTCACTTCTTGGATACCATAATTACATAGAAATACAGAGTATCCTCAGCTAGAAGGAACCAATGTGGATCACTAAAGTCCAACCCCTGACCACGCACAGGATAATCCCAAGAATTACACCATGTGCCTGAGAACATTGTCCAAATGCTTCTTGAACTCTGTCAGGCTTGGTGCTGTGACCACTTTCCGATGGGGAGCCTATATCAGTGCCCAACCACCCTCTGGATGCAGAACCTTTTCCCAATATCTAATCTGAATGTTCCCTAACACAGCTTCAGGCCATTCCCTCAGGTCCTATCACTGGTCAGCAGAGAGAAAAGACTGATGCTTGCCCCTCCTCTTCCCCTCATGAGGAAGTTGTAGATTGCTATGATCTCCCCTCCATTTTCTCTTCTTCAGGCTGAAACATATGCTTAATGATAGCATATGTTATCATTAAAAAGTTCAGAAGGAGACTTCTTGCAGTGACACTAAACACTTACTCCTTTTTGACAACAAAGGTTGATTATGTATAGAACTTCTACTCTGGTTATTGACTATCTTCCCCACAGGGCCCGACTCTGTATTTTGGTCTGTGAGGTGTACTGCCTCTATACTGACTGAACTACTGGGGTTTATGCTCAGATGACTAATGACAGGAATTGGCCTGAAGATGTGGAAGGACAGCTCCAACGTAATTCCTGCTTCCAGCTCAGGGCCCGACTCAGCTCAGTGAAATCAGTGAAACTGAACACTGCACCAGCGCTCTGAGCCCAAGCCAGCAGAGAGCAGGGTGGGTTTACAGAACACAGGTCACAGTCTAGCTGGCTTTATCCTCTTCTCAGATCTACTTTTTGCCTCACAGATTAGAAATTCTTCAAAATGCTGTCCTGATGCTGGATGCAGGAGGACACTGCAGTGTATCTTCCAGAAAGCGCTGAGTTTGAATGTTTCCAGTCTATTACGGGCTCAGGATTTCATTCCACAGTGGACTAAGTCAAGGCTCCTATTGCAATTAACTTCTGTTTTTCCAGTGCATTTTGGAGAAGTTACTGATGTGTCACCTACCCTGTTTTTCCCCCCTTTGTTTCTCAGAGGCTACTGGAAACTCACAAGCCCGCTGGTTCTGGAGTTAAAGAGAGGCCCAGCATGTGCGACAAACTCTGGTGAAAGGGAAAGCAATTGGAGAAAGATACCTGTGCATAATTATTTCTTTCTCAGAAGACTGTCAAAGTACATATTACAAAAAAGTGCAAAATATGGACTCAATGATCGCGAAATTTTTCCAATTTCGTTTCCTTTTCCAATTTTAAAGAATATAGCTCAAGATTATGTATAAATTTTATGGTCATTTAGCCATTGTATTATTGTCAGTATTTCTCCAACTCACAGGAATCTAATGAATACAGTAAAATGGACCTATTTATAGACCCCAGCATGATATGAGAGGCTATTTCATTATATGCAAATAAAGGCAAATAACAAGACAGGCAGTGTCCCAAAACAGAAAAAGGAGAAAGGGAAGGCTTTTTGCCCATTTTGTCTCCTGAAAATAGTTTAAGCCATACACTAAAATTAACTTACTGAAGACAAAGGTTTTCTAAGTGTATTGTTTGAAAAAAAGATCGATAGAAAGTATTTTAAGGCATATCACCTCACAAGTAATTTTCTAGTAGCTGTAAGATTTCTAAAACACAGATATTCACCCTGAATTGCTGTTAGAAAGATAGAGCTCTCCCATTCTTTTTTTGCAGTATCACTTTCTTCCTTCAGAGCATAACACACAAAGCACGAAGAAGCAAAACTTTCCAAGGGAAGACAAAGGAATGTAGACCCTTCATATCCCTCAAGCTGTTGCAGAATGTTCCTGCAGTACTTCTTTGTTGATCAATAAGGATAAAAACCTTTCATCTTGGAAGGGTCTTTTGACCAGACGTTGTGTACTGGGTCTGGCTGAGATGGAGTTAATTTTCCCTGCAGCCCATGGTGTAGACCATGGTGAGGCAGCTGTCTCCCTGCAGCCCATGGAAGTCCATGGTGGGACAGACATCCACCTGCAGCTTGTGGAGGGCCCCACACTGGAGCAGGTGGATGCCTGAAGGAGGCTGTGGCCCCCTGAGAAGCCCACACTAGATCAGGATCCTGGCAGGACCTGTGGCCCCATGGAAAGAGGAGACCATGCTGGAGCAGGCTTGCTGGCAGGACTTAAAATGGGGGACTCATGCTGAAGCACCCTGTTCCTGAAGGACTGGACCATGTGGAAGGGACCAACGGTGGAGCAGTTAATGAACAATTGCAGCCCATGGGAAGGACTCATGTTGGAGAAGTTTGGGGAGGACTGTCTCCTGTGGGAGGGACCTCAGGCTGGAGCAAGGGTGGACAGCAAGGAAGAAGGAGTGGCAGAGACAACATGTGATAAACTGACCATAACCCCCCATTCTCTGTGCCTTGTTGTAGTAGGAAGCCAGGGCCTGCAAAGGGTGTGTATCTAGATGAAACACCTGGGAAGTGCAACCAGTGCTTGAGTGTTCTGAGGAACAACAGCAGAGCAGTCTGGCACTTGGTGCACACCTGTTCAGCTAGCTCCCCTACCAGTGCTTCCACAGCACTGCCTGGAGTATTCCTTAAGGGTCAGTCCAGCAGAAAAGGAATGAAAAAAGATGCTCTTCAAATGCTTTCTGCCTTCCTAAGTTTTCTGGTCTGATCCTCAAAAACTCTGTCATTCTGAAGACTGATGT